CCCGCCCTGGGACCGAGGGGCCAGGCGCAGCACGAGACCAGCCCCGGGGCCTTGTGTGCCGGCGGCACGTGATCGGCCTGGCCTTCACCGGCTCCAGCCTGACCTCAGCTTCCCCCTGCCCCCCAGCCTTTGTTTTAAGGGAAACTGAATTTTAAAAAACAAGTAAATAGGGATTTCTTACATTCTTTTTCCCCCAAAAGCCCAAAGAATACCCCCAAGCCCCCTTTGACCATCCCTCTATGATCCTAGCCCCTCCCCCCCCCAAACCAGTACACCTAACTTGCCTATGTTGAGCTATTTTTCATCTGTCCTCTGAGAGAGCAGCAATAAAAAAATATTGGACTGCTGCTTTTGCTGACATATTTTATGTATTAAAATTACATCATATAAGCTAAACTAGATGATGATAAGTAGAATTTGTGTATGGGTAGGGGTTTTTAGTACAGAAGCATTAAGTGGTCCAAAATAGGAATTAAATCTACAGATATCATAGGATCTTTCTTTTCACTGTTTGGACCAGGTCTCTATTTTTCTTTTTAATTTTTAAGTTCATTTATGAACTACAGAATTTACAATATTTTAATTAGAGTCTTTTAATAATAAGATAAATATGTTCTCTGAAGTGAGGGAATTACATCAGATGCTCGTATGTTCTGTCTTTCAGTATCTGGGGATTAGTAGACACCATGCTCTTTGGTTCACATTTTGGTTTATCTCTTCCAGTACTCCTGGTTTTTCAGTGGCTGAAATAGTCATCAAATTAGCTAAATCAGCTAATTCCTAGTCTCGTGTGCCTAAATTGCAACATTCATTAACTTCACTTTAAATGAAAATTGTTGGTTTCTCTTCAAGAAACTAATCTAGTAGGAATTGTTTTTGGTGTTTTTTTTTTCCACAAATTCTATTTGATTAATTTATTTTTCTTTCACATAAATAACTTTTTTCAGAAAAATCCAGAATTAAAAGATGTTGGATATTAAAGATAAAATTTGCATTATTAGGTGTGTATATATATATGTTTCTTGAATGTTCTATAGGTGTTTATTTGAACGAAGGTTCTATTAAATGGTGCAGAAGATGCCAAAGAACTTTTTCTGTCCCTCAAAGGTTGAGCTAAGAGACAAAGAAATAGAGCGCCTGGTGCTAGCATTGGATGGTGGACGCTTTCACGAGGTTACCTTGATGGAATCGAGAAGTAAAAGCAATGAGAAGGTTATCAGCCATTTGAATTTGCAGGTAATGGATTTATTGGTGTAATTTAGTCAAAACTAGAAATTCTAGCAATCTAAAAAAAAACCCACACAATTTCTAAAATTGCTACTAGATATAAAATCAATCAATTTAATTTGCTTTGCTGTTTAGGTGACTGTGTGTACTGGTTTGGGGAGGGGGGGCTGGGATCGAGGGGGAATGGTCAAGGGGGTTTTGGGGGAAAGAGAATATGGGAAATCCCCGCTTGCTTGTTTGGTAAAATTCAGTTTCCCTTAAAACAGCAGCTGGGGGGCGGGGGGAAGCTGGGATCGGGCTGGAGCCAGGACGGGCCGGCCCATCACCAGCCGCCGTCACACAAGGCCCCGGGGCTATCTCGCGCCACGCATGGCCCCTAGTCCCGGAGCTGAGACAGACCCTGTTCCTGCCTGCCCCCATCCTCCCGGCACGCGGGAGGGCACCGGAACCAAGGCGCAGATCAGCCCCACTGACCAACGGAAAAAACGGCTTGGTCAGGAAGACCAACGGAAAAAAAAAACGGCAAAAAAAAGCGAGATGTGGAGGACTATATGAGCCAGTGCAACAGCAGTTCGTGGCTCTCGTTCTCTTCAGCTGCCGCTGCTGGGAGAAACACACAGCTCCTGTCTCTCAGAGACTGAAGGGCCAGAAGTGCTTCCAGAAGAGAGGGAAGGGGGAGAGACAGTTCTTCCTACCCTTCCTCCTGCTCTTTCAGCTAGCCATCTAATAGAGAAAGCAGCTCTCTTTTCTTTTTTTTTTTTTTTCTTTCCCTTTTCCCCTTCGTGTTATTTTCCATGCTTGTCACTGTTATAAGTTTTCCCATTTTAAAGAACAGAGATGATAATGCCAATTTTACAAAATTTATTAAGCAAGCGGCAATAAGCAAAACAGCGCTGTGCAGCCAGGGAGTTCCCAACTCCACCAGCGGCGTGCACCCACAGTAGTAAACGATCTCATATTTATACAATGAAACAATACATATACAATTGACACCTATACGTATTCATTACCTAACCCCGCCTACCCCCGCTTCGTATGGTAATATGTTTATTAGTTTATCTGTCCCTTGCGCTTGCGCAGATCCTTCT